GGGGGCCCCCCCCCCCACGCCCCGAGGAAGACTTCAGGCCGCCCGCGCCTGCAGCAGCAGCAGCAGCAGCAGCAGCAGCAGCAGCCGCCAGCAGCAGCGGTAGCGGTACGCAGCTCGCTCGCAGCTTTCGGGAGGTGGGCTGGAAAGGGGGGTTCGAAACACTTTTGCAATTTATTTTAGGGTTTAGGGTTTAGGGTTTAGGGTTTAGGGTTTTGGGAGAAACAACTCTTCGCTTCGCTCACCGCCGCCGCGACCGCCGCGACCGCCGCCACCGCGGCCCCCACGGCCGCCCCCCCGGCCGCCTCGGAAGCCACCTCCTCCTGCACCAGCAGCAGCAGCAGCAGCAGCAGCAGCAGCAGCAGCAAAGGAGCGGAAAATTCAAACAACAACTTCTAAAACTAGCGCATGCAGCTCCAGGGGACTCCCAGAAGCAGCAGCGGCTTTCGAGCTGCTGCTGCAGCAGCTCAAAATGCCCCGAAACAAGAAAACGCACAGAAACGCAAGCAGCAGCAGCAGCAGCAGCAGCAAGGCTGCAGCAGCAGCAGCAGCTCAACCGCCGCAGATGAAGGCTCTAAAGCCCCCTTTTGAAGAAGTTTGAAAAATAAAAGAAGTTAAGTCCGCGCGTACCCCTCATTTTGGAGAAGTTGAATGAAAAGAAGTGCAGAACTGCTGAGTCGGAGTGGCTCGGGAAAGCGAACTGGAAACGGAACTTCGGGAGGGACTAAAACCCCTTCGGAGTTGAAATAAATGCAAAAAAAAGAAAATAAAAGAAAATAAACCTTTTAGTTTTCTTTTTTTCGCAAAATAAACCAGTGGCTTCCTCCCATGCAACTTGAACGGAGCCACTGCTGTGGGGTGCGGGCCCCGGCTGCTGCGCTGCTGCTGCTGCTGCTGCCTTTAAAGCCCGATCTTCTTTTTAAAAGTCAAATAAAAGCATTTTGCAAATAAAAGAAAAGATTCCGCGAAGATCTGCTGCTGCAAAGCTCCGCAAAGACAAAATGCCCCCAGCAGCAACGCTGCATGTACTTGGCTCACTTGCCGGCATTTGAGAAGGCGAGTCTAGGCTTTCAGGGTGTATATACACTCCAATTCCTTCGTTTTCACTTATTTATTTATTATTTATTTATTTATTTTATTTTATTTTCTCATAACTGCATTTCTTATTCCGAGGGCTTCCGCACGCGGGCTGCTGCAGCAGCCACACAAGCCTGCCGCAGCGCAGACTCGAAACCCGAAAGCTAGAAAGGAATTCAGTTCAACTTTCTTCTAAACCGGAAATTAATTTAATTTAATTAATTTGAAATTAAACTGCAAAAGAAAAACTGCACAGAAAGACCTCAGGGGGCCCCTGAGACCTTTCTGTGCAGCTTTTGCTTTCTTGCTCACGGCCACGCAGCCAGAGGGTACTGCCGGGGGGCCCCCGGGGGCCCCCGGGGGCCCCCCTGAAGCATTTCTTTGCAGCAGCAGTTTCGCAACTGAACCCTTTTGGGGGCCCCCTTTTAGTCTCTATTTTGTTGGATGAAATGCAATTGAGTCCGAAAGTTTAAAAACAAAATCTGCATTTTCGGAATTCAAGAAATGCATTTGCTAAGCACTTTCATCTCAAAGAAACCGGCAAGAAAGGGGAAGGCTCGCTGCCAGATAAAGAACTATTCAAGGGTTTAGGGTTTAGGGTTTAGGGTTTAGGGTTAGGGTTTAGGGTTTAGGGCTCAGGGTTTAGTAGGCCTTGAAACGTTCCTTTGAGCCCCTAATGTTGAACTTTGCAATTTTAATGAAGAACTATTTAAGGGTTTAGGGTTTAGGGTTTAGAGTTTACTAAGCCTTGAAACGCAGCAGCAGCAAATTTTGCTGCTGCTGCAGCAGCAGCAAAGCTTTGCTGCAGCGCAGCAGCTTTTCAGTGAGCCGGTGGCTGTTTGAATTAATTTTAAAATTAATTTTAAAATTAATTTTAAAATTAATTTTAAAATTAATTTTAAAATTAATTTTATTTTTAAATTAAAATAAAATAAGTTCAGAAAGTTTTTCTTTCAAGTTTGTGCTCTGCATGCCTTTCTAAAAGCCCTCTTTGTCTTTTAAGATAATCCAAAATTAATTCTATTAAATCTTTTTGAAGTTCATTTCTTTTCTGTCTCCAATTCAACCCCGAGGGAGACTTGAAGTTCAGATAATTCAAATATTTAGGGTTTAGGGTTTAGGGTTTAGGGTTTGGGGTAGTTTGTCGATGAGCTTGCGAAGATCTTTCGTGGTTTGCAGGACTTTAGGGTTTAGGGTTTAGGGTTTAGGGTTTAGGAAACCCTTGAAAGGACTTTCCCGCTTTTTTAATTTATGTGGTTTAATAAAATGCATTAAAAACAACTTAGCCAAAAGCGTTTATTAATTCAGAAAGAAAGAAAGAAGTTTTAAACAAAATGAATTAAATAATAGTAATTAAATAATGTAATTAAATGAAGACACTAAATAAAAATAAGCAAATAAAGATAATTAAATAAAAGTAATTAAATAAAGTTAGTCCATTAAAACCAACTAAAGAATGTAATTGAGTAAAAGTAATTAAATAAAATAATTCAATAACAAGTAATTACATGAAAGCAATTTAATAATAATAATAATAGTGATAATAATAACAACCATAATAGTAATAATATTTAAAATATAATAATGAAAACATAATATAATAGTAATGTTGTAAACATAATAATATCCATAATAATAATAATAATAATAATACTAATAATAAATAATAGCTAATAATAATAATAATAATAATAATAATAATAATAATAATAATAATAATAATAATAATAATAATAAGATAATATAATAATAATAATAAAGTTAAAAACATAACAATTCATTTCCATTCTCCCGAGCCAAACTAAACATTTTTGTCTCAGAGCCAATTTGCAAGTTTGGGGAAAACTGCAGAACAAGAAAAGACTCTTGGCTAGCTGCAGTAGCTAGCTAGCTAGCTAGCTAGCTGCAGCAGCTAGCTAGCTAGCTAGCTGCAGCGGCTGGCTAGCTAGCTAGCTGGCTGCAGAGCCCACTTTCCTAGTCTTGCTGCTGGCAAGCCTGCAGGCAGTCGCTGCTGCAGCTGCTGGGAAAACTTTGTCTAAGAAGTTAATTAAATAAAAATAATTAAAAACAAAAACAAAATCTTTTCGCACTGCAGCAAACAAACCCAATTCGCCGACGCTGCGCTGCTTCCCCAGCATCTTTCGCAGCAGCTTCACAGCAGCAGCAGCAGCAGCAGCAGCAGCAGCAGCAGCAGGAACAAAGTGCAGCAAAGCTGGTCTTTAAAGTCATGAAAAAGGAAAAAAGAAGCAAATAAAGAAGCAGACGAAGCTGCCGCTGCAGCAGCAGCTGCTGCAGCGGCGCGCAGCCCTGCTGCAGCAGCGCGGGCTGTGGGGCCGCCGCATGCAGAAAGCTGCGCAGCAAAGCGCCGCGGGGAGTCGAATTGAATTTGAATTTGCAAAAGTCGAAAGTTGAATTTTGCAAATTGGAGTTTCCTCCGCCGCCGCGCAGCTCCGCCCCGCAAAATGGTAAGCTTTCCGCGCCCCGCGGCGCAGCCTCCTGTGGGGAGGGCCGCGATCTTCAGCTTTCCCGCGGCAACTTGGGTTTTTTTTTGGGCTTTTTCGCAAAACTTTGCAAAGTTTTCTCCGAAAAGTGCAGATCGCCTTGAGAAAGGCCGCCAGCTGCTGCGGGGAGGCCAGCAGCAGCGGCTCCGCCAGCAGCAGCGGCGGCGCCGCAGCGGCGAACTGCTGCTGCGGCTTTCCGCCGCGCGTTCAAGTTTCGTTTCGTCGGAAAAGTAAAAATGAATTCTTCGCGAGTTTTTGGCGAGTGGTGTGGCGCAGCGATGGGGTGTACGTGCAGCTGCGCGGCTCTCCGCCGACGCGGAGTGCTGCATCGGCGCTCGGCAGTTCTTCTTCGTTTCTTTTCCGTTTTTGAATATTTTTGCGTCCGTTTGCATCATTTTGCGTTTTGCGGCGAAGTCGCCGCGCCGTTTGCTCTTGCGACGCGCAGTGCAGCCGCTTTCGAACTGCTTTCCCTGTGGGCTGCTGCTGCAGGGAATCGACTTGAAAAACAGAGGCCGCACCAAGAAGCACGGCCGCCGCGCCTTGGTTTCCAAAAACCCTTACCTGCGGCTGGCCGTGAAGGTGAGGCGTTTTTAGAGTGCAGAGAAAGTCCCGCGAGTTCAAATCGGCGGAGTTGCAGCAGCGAGTTTCAAGTTCCGTTTTTTTCCGATTTTCGCGGTTTCGGGGTCTTTTTCTCGCGTTTTTCGCGCCGCCTCTGGAGTTTATTAGTTTTAATTAGTTTTAATTAGTTTTAATTAGTTTTTAATTGGTTTTTGTTTGTTTTTTTGTTGTTTCGGACTTGCAGCTCTACCAGTTCCTGGCGCGGCGCACCAACAGCAACTTCAACAAAGTCATTCTCAAGCGCCTGATGGCCCCGCGGCGCCTCCGCGCGCCGCTCTCGCTTTCCAAGTTGGCGCTGCGAATGCGCAAAGAGGCCAACAAGACTGCAGTCGTCGTCGGCAGCGTCGTCGGTAGGGCCTCCAAACCCTCGATAAACCCTCAATAAACCCTCAATAAACCCTCGATAAACCCTCGATAAACCCTCTTTAAACCCCCCTTTAAACCCCCTTTAACCCCATCTAAACCCCCCTTTAAACCCCCTTTAAAATCCTCTTTAAACACCTCTTTAAACCCTCTTTAAACCCCCTTCAACCCCATCTAACCCCCCCTTTAAACCCGTTTAAAACCCTCTTTAAACCCCTCTTTAAACCCCCTTTACCCCCCCCTTTAGACCCCTCGTTAAACGCGCCTTCAAACCCTCTTTAGTCCCCTACCAAACCCTCTTCAAACCCTTTTAAAGGGCCTCCAAGCGGCCTCAAAAGTGTTTAAAACCCCCCTTTAGACCCCTCGTTAGAACCCCCTCCAAACTCCCTCCAACTGGCCTAAAAACCCCGTTTAAACCCCCGTTAAACCCCCCTTAAGACCCCTCATTAAAACCCTCTTCAAACCCCCTCCAAACCCCCTCCAACTGGCCTCAAAACCCCGTTTAAACCCCCCTTAAGACCCTCATTAGAACCCCCTTCTCCCCCCCTCCAACCCCCTCCAACTGGCCTAAAAACCCCGTTAAAACCCCCGTTAAACCCCCCTTAAGACCCCTCATTAGAACCCCCTTCTCCCCCCCTCCAACCCCCAGGTTGAGGGAGGAAGTGGCCTCAAAATCCCTTCTTTTTGCTTCTTTTTCCTTTTTCCAGACGACCCCCGGACGCTGCAAATCCCCCCCATGGCCGTCTGCGCGCTGCGCTTCTCGGAAGCCGCGCGGCGGCGCATTTTGGCCGCGGGCGGCGAATGCCTCGCCTTCGACCAGTTGGCCCTGAGGGCCCCCAAGGGGGCCCACTGCGTGCTGCTGAGGGGCCCCCTGCTGCGCGAAACTGACAAACACTTCGGGCCAGCTCCAGGTCCTGCTGCTGCTGCTGCTGCTGCTGCTGCTGCTGCTGGGAGTGGTGCTGCTGCTGCTGCTGCTGGGAGTGGTGGTGGTTGTGGTGGTGGTGGTGTAGTGGTGGTGGTGGTGGTGTGGTGGTGGTGCAGCTGGAGTTGTTGCTGCTGCTGTTGCTGCTGCTGCTGTTGTTGTTGCTTCTGCTGCTGCAGTTGTTGCTGCTGCTGCTGCAGTTGCTGCTGCTGCTGCTGCTGTTGTTGCTGCTGGGGCGGCAGCGGGGCGGAGTTGGAGGGCGCTGGGGCGCTGCAGCAAAAGAAAAGAAAGAGTCTTTGCTGCTGCTGCTGCTGTAGGTACACCCCACTCCCACACGAAGCCCCGCGTCCGCTCCAAAGGCCGGAAGTTCGAAATGGCCAGAGGCCGCAGAAAGTCCAGAGGCTACAAGAACTGATGCAGCAGCAGCAGCAGCAGCAGCAGCAGCTGCAGCAGCAGCAGCAGCAGCAGCACTTCTGGAGGCGGGGCTGCTGCGTCGCACAGTTTTGCTCCCCGGGGAGGGCCAGGGGGGGGCCCCGGGGGGCCCCTGGCTTTCCGCCGCTGCAGCGCAGGCCCGCGGGGAACCTGCTGCTGCTGCTGAGCAGCAGCAGCAGCAGCAGCAGCAGCAGCAGCAGCAGCAGCTGCTGCTGCTGCTGCTGCTGGGACGGACTGGACGCATGCAGCGCCGAACTTCAGTTCAAGTTTTCGAAATTTAGAAAAGAGCTTCGCCACTTGGGATCTGAGGTGTCAGTGAATTATTTAGTTTTGCATTTCAATTCTTTTGCAAAGTGAATTATTTAGTTTTGTTCTTTTTGCAAAATGAATTATTTAGTTTTGCATTTTAATTCTTTTGCAAAATGAATTATTTAGTTTTGTTCTTTTTGCAAATACTTAATAAATCAATTGCATTTTAATTCTTTTGCAAAATGAATTATTTAGTTTTGCATTTTAATTCTTTTGCAAAATGAATTATTCAGTTTTGCATTTTAATTCTTTTTGCAAAATGAATTATTTAGTTTTGCATTTTCTTTTCAAAATGAATTATTTATTTAGTTTTGCATTTTAATTCTTTTTGCATTTAGTTTTGCATTTTGATTCTTTTTGCAAAATGAATTATTTAGTTTTGCATTTTGATTCTTTTTGCAAAATGAATTATTTAATTTGAATTGTTTTGCTTCTCACGAGTTGCAAGTTTGTCCGGTTTTGCAAACTTGAAATAAAAAGAAGTTCAAAAGAAGTTCAAAGAAGTTGAAAAGACAAACAAAGAAGAAGTGAAGGAAAGTTCTTCAGAAATGCTTCAAAGCTGCCATTTAAAAAGAAAGAAAAAAACATTTTAAAAAGAAAAAAAAAAACATTTAAAATGTTTTTTTCTTTTTAAAATGTTTTTTTCTTTTTAAAATGTTTTTTTCTTTTTAAAATGTTTTTTTCTTTTAAGTGGCAGCAAATCCAAAAGAAAATTCACTTGTAAGAAATGCCCCCCATGAAGCTCCGCGGGTCTGGCGCGGAGCCTGCCAAACACAGCAAAAAAAAAAGGTCGAAAGCCACCTGCATTAATTATTAATGGCATTTAATTATTAATGGCAATTAATTATTAATGGCATTTAATTATTAATGGCATTTAATTATTAATGGCATTTAATTATTA